ATGAGGTACTAAAAACTGATGAATAACCATTTGCTTTATACTTGAATCATACGATGGTGCGATAGAAAAAACAGCCTACAAAAATATCGGGCCGTTTGGCCTAAATTACTTCATTATTTTAGCATGTTGTTGGTTGATTTCACGGCAAACCATCCAATACTATTGTTGGCCACCTGTTTTTCTCAATTTTGTGATCAACTTAACTTAATTTAATTAAAAAACAGGATTTTGTTTTAAAAGCTTAAGGCCATAAAAAAAAAAATAATCAAAAACACTTCAAGATACAAGTGGAAAGCAAATGGGCCTTCATGAGGATTTGGTACCTCATGAAATTTTCGGAGACTCAGGAATGGGCAGTACAAGTTAAACTACAAGCTAAACCCAGCGCTGACTTCGTCAATGGCATCCTTCAGCCCAATTTAGAGATTGGTCGGATGCTATTGATGAGTTCAGCGCTGAGTATAGGAACTTGGCCAAATCATTCATCCCCCTCCTTAGTTCTATATACTACTAATAACCAATGCTTAATAATTATTTACATTCCATCAAATTTCTAACAACAACAAGACTTTCCAAACTACAGAATCAGCATACCTACCCCAGCTTCTGAAAGCACAAGTTTGCCTATCGAGTTAGTAATATTGTTCATTAGTCAATTCCCCGAAACAGACTGTTTTCCATAATAGTTAAGCTATTTAATTATATAAATGTAATATAATTTACAAAAGTAATTCCTGATGTTAGAATATATTCCCATCTAAATATACATACTCTCCTTAGGTTCGTCTAAATTAAAAAAAAAAGGAATAACCTTTTGTATCCAATTCTTCTAAATAATTTTTATTTAATGCCACCCATACATATTTGTAAAATCTACTGTATACCAGTGAGTTCTATCCTTATTATTATTATTTTCATTTTTATGAAAGTTTTAAAAATATAAACTTTTTTTTTTTCTAAATTCATCGTTAATGTTGGGTATCTTTGTAAAGAATAATTCTACTTGTCTTTTTTTATTTATTATAAATAAAATATGAAAACATAATTTTTGTTATTAAAAACACTTTATTCAGAAATATTACAATTTGTCACAGTTAAGGACACTTATAATAGAGTTCAGAGATTGCATTCATACCGTATATACAAAAATATAAATAAATAAAGTAATAACAAAAGAATAAGAAGAAAGAACAAAAGAGTAAAGAAAAAAAATAATATATATACACATAAGTAAATAAAAATAGAAATAAAAGTAAAACAAACACCTTATATAAAACATACATTATTTACAATTTGCCAGGTGATCTCCGAACCAATCCTGTCCCCTCCACATGTGGAGGGAAAAGGGAGGCCTAGGAGATCCCTACGCTTCTCCCTCAGCCACTTCACTGGTATTTTAAACCAGCGGAGGATGAGTAAGAGCGCTACAGCCACAGACACTCATGACTTGAGTGGAGAATCTGGCCATTGCTAGAACTCCAAAATATCCATATTTACAAAAGGTCTCGTGGCCACTGCCGCTTTAACCTACGAAGGGGATTGTAGGGATGGGTGGTGCTTGATAGGGATTGTACAACGGGATTTGGGTGATGAGAAAGGTTCTGGTGAAATTTGGAAAATTTGGCTGGGATAAGATCAAGAATAAATGGGATATTAAGGTCATGATGTAGGGTTTTATTGGTTACATAGAAGGGAGCATTGACTATTGTACGGAGGACTTTAGACTGAAAGGATTGAATGCGTTTGATGTTAGAAAATTTGGCTGTTCCCCATAGTTCTAGTCCGTAAGTCCAGATGGGTTTCAGTATTGTCTTGTAGATCAGTAATTTGTTTTCACCAGAAAGTTTAGATTTTCTATTCAGTAGTCTATATAGCTGGCCATATCGTCTGTTAAGTTCCTGTCTTTTAAGTCGAGTATGTGGATTCCATGTTAGTCGTCTGTCTAAGAGAAAGCCAAGATACCGGACTGTATCTGAGAAAGGAAGCTGGATGGAGTTAAAATAAACTGGTGGGCAGGTATTACGCCGAAGGGTGAAGGTAATGTGTTTACATTTAGATTCGTTTACCTTAATGCGCCATTTCTTACACCAGTGTTCAATCAGGAAGAGGTGCCTTTGTAAGTTTGCGGACGCTGTTTCAGGATCTGAGTTGGAAGAAAGGATAGCAGTGTCATCAGCGAAAGTTGCCAGGAGGGTATCGGGATGGACAGGAATATCAGCGGTAAAGAGAATGTAAAGGATGGGGCCCAAGACGCTGCCTTGAGGAACGCCAGCCTCAATTGAGTAACAGTCGGAGAATTCGGTGCCACAGCGAACTCGGAAGGAGCGGTCGGAAAGATAGGATCGGAGTACTAGGTATAAGGACTGTGGTAGATGGATTTTAAGCTTGAAGAGTAATCCGGCGTGCCATACCCGGTCAAAAGCTTGCGCTATGTCCAGAAATGCACCCGAGCAATACTGCTTGCTTTCTAGGGTTGAGGATATATGGTCAACAACTCGGAGTCCTTGCTGGACAGTGGAATGTTGGGAACGAAATCCGAATTGATGAGTAGGAAGGTTATAGGATTCAATTATAGGTAGGATTCGTTTCAGTAGGATCTTTTCAAAAATTTTTGAGAGGATTGGGAGTAGGCTAATTGGTCTATAGGATGCTGTATTGTTGGAAGGTTTGCCTGGTTTCAAGAAGAGGACGATGGTGGAATGTTTCCATAAAAGAGGGAAGTGGGTAGTTCGTAGGATGCAATTGTATATATATGTAAGAAATGTGATGGCTTTAGATGGAAGTTGTCGAAGGATCTGTGGGGTTAGAAGGTCATATCCAGGAGATTTGCGAGGTGTGATTTTCCGTAAAAGGTATTTGACCTCAGAGGGATTAACAGCTTTAGGTGGTAAGGAGAGTGGGATAGGTATTGAGAGGGATTCTTCTACTTTTACTGTGTGGCTGGGATGGGATTCTGGATGAGGAGCGAAAGTATAGGAAAGGTGTTTGGCAAATTCCTCGGCTTTATCTTCATCAGATGCTGCCCAGGAGCCATCATCTCGTCGAAGAGGGTGGGAAATATGATGGGATTTGAGGATTTTTCTGGTGATATTCCAAAGGGAATTATCATGAGCAGAGAGTGTGGTGAGGTAGGAATTGAATGATTGGGATCTGAAGGTGGCTAATTCTTTTTTTAATTTTTTACAGTGATAATTGTAGGAGTGGCGGTCGGCTGGATGTCTGGTACGTTGCCATAATAATCTGGCACGGCGTTTTATGTGGATTAGGTCAAGGAGGTGTTGAGGTAAATTATGTTTCTTAAGGATTTTTGAGGAGTGATCAGGGGAGGAAGCAGTCCAGACTGCTTCTTGAATTTTGGTAGTGAAGGAATGTACTGCATTGTCCAGGTCTTCAGAGGTTTTCAGGGTTACTCTGAGGTCAATTTTATCGGAGAGGATTTGATGAAAGAGTTTCCAGTTAACTGGGCCTCTGATGAAGGACGGAGGAGAGGGTTTAGGAATAGGAGCTAGTGATACTTGGAGTATTAATGGGCTGTGGTCTGAGGAAAGCTCGTCAAGACGGGCAACGGAATGGTTGAGAGCACCTAAACCATTATGGATAAAGAAATCGAGGATATCGGGATTACGGTTAGGATCAGTGGGCCAGTAGGTAGGTGAGTTGGGTGGAAGAAGGGTAAAATTTTGGGAATTGAGTACAGACAGCAATGTTCGACCACGAGAATTCGTGGTTCTTGAACCCCATTGTTGATGTTTGGCGTTTAAGTCTGCACCCAAGATGAAATGATGTCCTAAGAAAAGAAAACATAATTATATCGATTTTTCGAGTTTTTAACTCATCTTCAAGACAAATTTTGAAACTGATTTAGCTTCAATATTATCATCAAACTATCCTTCAAAACTCCTCCCTCACTTGATGCATTTGTTCCAGAAAAAATAAATAAATAAATAAATAAAATATTATTATATGACCCTTGCTTACCAAATAATAATGACAAACTACTAAATATGGATATGGATTGTGAAAGATATGTGCGGAGAAAGAGAGAGGGACAGAAAGATGTTTAAGGATAATATTAAAGCAATATCAGTAAACGAAATTCATCCTGAAAATGAGTTTAAATATCAAAATGTAAAGGATTTTACTAAAGGAAAAATAATTTATTTTTAATAAACGAAAGAAATTCGGAAAAAAGTGTCCAAAAAATACGCAAAAATAGATCGTCTTCTTTAAAAAAAAAAAATGAAAAACAATTAATTTATTTTGTATATTGGGGATTTCTAACCTCTGGATTATCCATTTTTTTCAGAATATCATATAATTGTTGAAATTGGTTGCTATAGAATTACTCTTACAGTTATGATAATATTTCTTAACAAGTTACCTCATTCAAAAAAGTTCTTAGGAAGATAATTATAACGATTCACAAAAATGTTAGGTGTCCGCTTTATACCACGCAATAAAAGTGAAAACATCAACAAGGCGAGCTTAATAATATAAAATATAAATTATAAATAATAGCTCATTATAAAGAGGATGAAATGCTGAACAATTCTCTCGCTTAAAGTATGCAGGTCCGACTTTTAGTTTCTGAGATATTTTAATCCATATATTCCATACAACTCCTTATAATTTTGTTTTCGACACGATTTTTTTTACCTTTTCGCCTCTCTAACACTGCGCCGTGGTAATATACAATTTTGAATAATAGCCCATTGCAGAGAGGATGAAATGCTAAATAATTCCCTTGCTTGTGGTATGGAGTTCCGATGTTTAGTTTTCGAGATATTTTAATCCATATGCAAAAATACTTCAATTAATCGACTCCAGCCAACTTTATTCCGAGCGTTACACATCGGCTCAATCTAATTCAGTCTCCACAAAAAAAGTGCCAAATGGGCCTAAAGAAGTTTTCACTTCAAAAATCATGTTTGATCATTCAAAGTATTCAGTCATGGTCATTTTAAGCTAATTACCTAATACAGTGATATGTCGTTGGTTGAATGAATACGACTCGTTTTGACAGGTACATAAAAAGTAAATTTATTGTGCCAATGAAACATAACTGTACATATACAATATCCCTACATATGTCGCTACGTAGCGTTTGAATCAGCCAATACAACTGCATGTATGATAAATGTATTAATAAAGACACAATAATTTGAATTTCAAATTATATAATCAGGAAAATATGAAATGTTAGTATGAATGTAGACAAAATACTCTAAAGTCATTTCCCAACAAAATCATGTTTCATTTGCAATCTGTCGGATGTTTAGTCTCTTGTTTTCTGGACTCTTGTGTTTCTATATTTGTTATATTAAAATATTATGAGTTGAGGATAACTATGCCTCTAAAATAACTCTTTACCTCTTGTTATGTGTACTTGATGGAGGATGAGGGCGGGGAATTTAAAATCTCTTCTGAAACCAGGACGCGAACTCGTACTTTTTTAATCTCATAGCTTAGGTTATCTGGTTGCCGGGCAACTCGTGGTGTGCACACTCGTTAGCCCATTCGGTCACCCCGCCCCCCCCCTTATGTGTACTTTATAATAGATGTTCCTTATCTCTGATATCAAAGAATAAAGCTAACAAGAACCTTTCGGTTGCAGGAGTAAGGTGGCCACAGCTCTCCTTAACAAACACCTGCAGATCAACGGCATAGCGGCCGGGGTGAACGTGGGCAGCCCGGAGACCCTGAGGCCTCTGGCTACCACCAGCAAGATGAAGAGGGAGCGGAAGGCCGCTAGGACGTTGGGCATCATCATGTCTGCCTTCCTCGCCTGCTGGCTTCCCTTCTTCCTCTGGTAAGTCCAGGCTATTCCAGGCATTTCAAACAAAATTTGTTACCCAAACTAATTTGTGATTTTAGGGAACCAAGTAACCTATTAGTCAATTTTGTGTAAAATGTGTTTAAAATTAAGTCCTTAAATTACAGAAAAAAGCTCTTAGAAATAGAAAGACGTTTCCTTTACTTAAAAACTTAAAACAATTTAGAATGATTTTCTATCCTACTGTATCCTTTAATACCCTACTTACTCTTGTGTAACAAATCCCATACCTAAGATTCCACTTGGACAAACATCTAATTTGGGATTCTAATTCAAGAATGAAGCAACAAGAAACCAAATCCTTACAATCCGAAATCCTTCGTAAAATCATCAATGCTCCTTACTTAGTCACAAGTAAAATCACTAATAACAGACTTAATATTCTTTTACGGTGTTGAGCTATGGGGCTCCACTAAACCATCGAATTCCTCTCGCATCCAATCCTTACAATCCAAAATCCTTCGTAAAATCCTCAATGCACCTTACTTTGTCACTAATAAAATTATCCATAAAGATCTTAATGTTCCTTATGTTTCAGATCTGGCCCAATCCAGATACCTATCCTTCCATAATAAACTTCAGAATCATCCCAACCCTCTCGTTTCTAACCTTGCTTCCTCTTCAATTCCTTTTAACCCTCCGGACGTCTGAAAAGAAGATGGCCCCGTGATCTCCTAATGTAGTCATATCATTAGAGTGCTACCATTGGGTAGTTACTCAGCAAGTGTATTCATGTCATATCAATTATGTCCAAATTTACTTAATGTATTTATGTAATACAGTAGTAAATGTCATAAAGAAATAAAAAATAAAATAAAAAAAATATATATTCTTTTTGTTTCCGATTTGGTCGAATCCAGATACTTTTATTCTAAAATGAACTTCAAAACCATCCGAATCCACAAGTATATAATCTTGCTTCCACATAGAAACCTATACACTACATCATCTAGATATGTGTATTGTTCGTATCTCTCTACGCAAAACGATTCTACGTCTGATATTGTAAACTTTTCTGAGAACTTCTGAAAATAATCTATGAAGCAGATAGAAGTAGTGTAAAGGGTTACGACAGGTTGATATCACTTGTTTGAAATTTTCGACCAAACTAAACCAGCGCTACTTATGTTCAGAAAGAAAATTATTATTAAAAATGTGCTGTATATCACACTATGTTTTCAATTCTCAGTGTGATTCTGTGTTTCATTATGTTATTACTTCCACTTACCTATGTATGAAGTATATAGCAAATGAAAGTATTGCGATCGTTAAAATTTTGAGTTTACACCGGAAATACTTGTTTTGAGGTCCTCTGAATCCAAAGAACCAAGTCCTGCAAAATGGTATGTGTTTGTGTATGTGTGTTAACGGTCTAGCTCAAAACGAAAAGTCGCACGAAAGTGAAATTGCATATTTAAGGTTTTTTTATGCCTGAAATATGTTATAGTAACTTTTCCGTCAAAATCGGCTAACCGGAAGTGCCATTTTATGTAATCGATTTAACAAATTTGTACGATTTTCTCAAAAACAGATCTAACGATTTTGATTTATTTCATTATATCAATGTAAAATTAAGCAGTTTTTATTCTCATTGATGTTCTCTAACTGGGCTTAAATGGCTAATTTTTAATATTAGCTTTCTTTAAAGTACCATTATTTTTTTTTTATTTGAAACAATTAACCATTTCACCTTGATCTCTCGTATAAAATATCTGGTGTTTCCACTTCCACGACTTTCCTACCTATTTCAAAAAAGTTTCTATATTTTTGCTTATGTTCATGAGAAAATAAAAACGAATTGAACTAGATTTAATTTTCTGAAAATTGATCAAACAAAAGATTTGAGTACGATTTATTTGATAAACTAAAGCAATGTAAACCCGCTTAAGGTAGATCAGTGTAAAAATTTCGAAAGGTTCGATTCTGATGATTTTTTTGGTAATTTAATTATCTTTCAAAAGTTTTATTATAAATGTTACCGTATAATATATACTTAAGGAGTTAGGCCCTATAAAATTTTTCTTTTCTTTATAACTTTTTTTTCTGATTTTTTTCGGGAATTTAGTCTATACACAAAAATTGAAAGGACAGTAGTTAGAACATTATAGGAAAGTTTCATCAAAATCGTTAGAGCTATTTTCGTACTACAGTCTATAGAGAAACATGTTTTTCGTTTATTGCGCATGGAGCACTGAATTTCTGTCACAGGCATCAGTAATCAATACCCTACAAAATAAAAAAAGAAGCAACAAAAACGGTTCAGTAGTTCCCGAGAAGATCTTGGTACAGACAGACAGACAGACAGATCAATTGCTAAAAATGTGTTTTTCGGACTCAGGAGGCTCTGAAATGTATAGATCCGTCGAAAACCATATATCGGGAATTTGACCCGATTGAAATACTTTCTTACCTAGTATAGGTAGGAAAGTAAAAATAGTTAAATAAAAAATATGAAAGAATTTATAATTAACTAAAGGAGATCGTATAACCTTCCGAGATATCAGAAAAGAAGATGGCTTATACGTCTCCAAATATAAACATTATATTAGATGGCTACTAATGGTTAGTTTCTTTACAAGTCTTTTCATTATATTTGTCTGTTCATATTTATTTTATTTTAATACAGTTGTAAACTTCATGAATAAGAAAATTAACATAATGTGGAAGATGTGGGATTTTTTTTCGACAGATTTTTCCTACTTGTACCAGGTTTAAAATAATTTGAAATAAAAAAAATCCATTATGACCCTTCCAGAAATTTATCGAAATTGTGCCAAAACCTAATTCAACATATTATTGGGGTCATCGAATGAACCCCATATTGACCTAAAAGCGAAGACAGGGGGCGATAGATGCCGGCCTAAGAAGGGTCCCAGAAGTGGAAATCAATAAAGACAAAGATCCCAATCTGTCTTAATACTGCCGAAGTTAGGAGTCTTAACCAGCTCTGGCTGAATTATACATCAGGGTCTTCTGGTGGCTAAGAGTTTGTCTGCTCTATGTTTTTCTTCAGGCCGACCTAAGCGAAATATGGAATCTCAGATACCATTATGTACCGTTCATTAGATACGACATCCTACTCCTCCTCTCCGACCAAAGAAAAACCTACAGTGTGTGTTTAAGACCACACGACAGAAGTAAAAACATCAAGAAGGCGTGATTAATTATATGAGATATACATTTTTTCTTGTTCTATATTCCCAAAGTAATAACATTTAAAATATATACAATTCTAATCATTTATTAATTAATCTGATAAACTTTGCTCTGACTGATCGTCAATATTATCATACTTTAAACAATAAACAATATGTTTATGGTAACTAAAATATGCGATAAATATATTTTGATTGCAATCTGTTTGTTAAGTATCTACCAAAAACTACGCCAATCGTTGTTTCATTTTTTCTGCTTTCATTTGAATTATTAGACATGTTAAAATCTAATGCTGATTTCAAAAAATCAACTAAAGGCTTCGATATTTCTTTTGAGAAATCATAATTGAAATCCCCACTCAAAATCATTGGTCATGAGATACTTTAGTCAAACGTTCAAAACAGTCTTATTTTTTTTGTTTTTTTATCTTTTTTCCTCCCCACGCTCTAACCCCGCGCCAACAATTTTTAAGTATAGCTAATTACAAAGAGGATGGAATTGTGAACATTTCCTTGCTTACAGTATGCAGGTTCAAATTTTAGTTTCTGAGATAATTTAATCCAATTACAAAAATTAGTCAACTAGAGCCGACTTTACCCGAATGAACGTTACAAAGCCGAGCGTGACCGCTCAGTCTCATCCAAAACCCACAAAATAAAGTTCAAAGCGCGTGTATTTATTTATCAATCGATATAAATATGTAACGAAAAATAACCTATTTTTTCAGGTTCTCTCGCATTTTAATACTTAAAATAATTCAGACAAAATTTTGCAATAATTTTGTTCTCGGTATCATGGAGCTCATACCTATTTCCGTTAATTTATCTTTAATAAAGCGGATGCCTCAAAGGGGAAAGGTTTCAAAGTTAATGCCATTAAGGAAGTCTCTTTGATCTCGATTTCAACCCGCGCCGATAAAACAAAAAAAAAAAAATCCAATCTGTAATAATTTAAGGATGAGGGAGAGGGGAGAGAGGAGAGAGACCGCCAGGCAAAAATCAGTATTTCTTCTCTCCATTTATAAAGATGATTAGATTTTGCTGGGCGATGTTTGGTCTCTCCGTTCAACTAGAAGGAAGCTTTCTCTGGCTTTCATCAACTCACGATCTACATTCGTTATAACGAATACAGGTGTCATGCTTTGAAATTAAAGTTAATCTATGTATGTATTCAAAAAATAATATTATTGAAGGAAGCTAGCCGAATGTTCTACATATCATGGATGATATACATTCAGGACGCAGTCATTTAAAAAAAATTTTTAATTTTTTATTTGTGCCAACGTTTCAACCCAAACATGTGGGTCATCTTCAGGGCGTAGTTCGAGCACTGAAGATGACACAAATGTTTAGGTTGGAACGTTGGTACAAATAAAAAATTAAAAACTTTTTTTTTAAAAGACTGCGTCCTGAATATTTATCACTCGCAAAAATAATATCTCACAATTTTGGACTTACCATCTATATTGTTATTAATAAAATATATATATATATATATATATATATATATATATATATATATATATTGAGAAGATTGTTGGACGTAAATGAAATGTAGAATATCATTGATGGTGTGGTAAGAAATATAGGACATAATTAGATTATTATATGTTTTTATACAACGCGTAAGTAAAGGGAAATATATAAAGAGGTGAGAGAAGATCTCAAGAGCTACAAAAAAGATCAAATAAACCATGGTCTGATTTTCCACAGAAAACTATAAAATTAAAGTTTTTGTTATTTTAAGAAAACCGTGTTTCTTTTGTTGATTTTTTCTTCACTTTTTGAAAATGACAGATTTCCGTCTTTGATATGAGGCAACTCATATATGGGGTAGTTAAAAAAATAAAAAGGAATAATATAAAGGAGAATAAAAAACAAATGTTGAAATGGTTAGTGAAAGCCAGCTAGGAATAGAAAAAAAAGGAGATGAAGACAGAATCATAAAAGTAAAAACGAGATTGACTGTAGGTTAATTCAGGTTAACTGGCCATGATCCTTAGAAGGGGGTATCATGAAGCCAGTTGCGCCGTCAGAATTTTGGAGGGGGCATATTTTGCCGGGTTTTTAAATTTTTGAGAGAGGTACATTTCGGCGAAGTTAAAAATTTAGGAAAATGAAAAGTTTCGTACTAAGGGACATGAAGAAAACATAGAACAGACTACAGCAAGTGTAATTATATATTATTTTGTTTGCTCTGTTTTTAAGAAAAGGTAAGCATTAAAATATCTTTGGAGTGGGGTATATATCCCTGCTCTGTCAACTTCGGGAGTGATGGGCACCCCTGGGTTAACTGTATATAATCACTAGATTTGAGAATGTTAAAGTTTATGCTTTAACACGCTCTGCCATCACGAACTCAAAGACAATTAAAAAATTACTATGTTCACTTATATATATATATATATATATATATATATATATATATATATCACTAGCGGATCCAGGATTTAATTTTGGGGGGCTTCAGCCCGAAAGATTTTTTTTCATATACATGTAACGATTAATTAGAAAAAAAAAGAAAATAATTAAGTACCTATATGAAGTGGTTCTTGAAGTCCTATTAAATATAATTACACTAACAAGAATACTTCAAGAGATATTTTTTTCTGTAAAACATGGTTATATTTTACCATTTTGCGGGGGAGGAGGAGGGCTTCAGCCCGAAACCCCCTCCCCCGTAGATCCGCCTGTGATATATATAAAAGTGAATAATGAAGAGAAGAATAGTTGGGGTGGTCAGTCAAAAAAGAAGGCAAAAATAAATGATAATATTTATTTTTACATATGCCGACGTTTCGACCTGAAGTTCAGGCCTTCATCAGGGCTAAGAAAATAACCAGATAACAAGATATGAGAAACATAAGTAGTGATAGTAAAAAAAAAATAAAATAAAAAAAAATAAATAAATAAAAAAAAAAATCTAACTACTCCATTCTCAATGTCTTAATTTTACTATTTATTTTCATTTCTTTTATAACTTCATATTTCTTTTTTATATTTTACATTTTATTCTAAAATTCCCATTTTAACACTTATGTCACCCTTTTTGATTATGCTTACTTCATCATTCCACACTTTGTAACCGTTATTATTATTTATCTCTTAGTTCTTACTCTTGTCATTATTCTAACAACTTCATTTTATTTTATTTATTTTTTTTTTTTAAATCACTACTTATGTTTCTCATACCTTGTTATCTGCTTATTTTCTTAGCCCTGATGAAGGCCTGAACTTCAGGTCGAAACGTCGGCATATGTAAAAATAAATATTATCATTTATTTTTGCCTTCTTTTTTGACTGACCACCCCAACTATTCTTCTCTTCATTATCCACGACAGTCAACCATTTACCAATTATAAAAGTTTTGTTTTTTTATTTAATGGAATTTACAACTGTATACAAATACAACAACTAAATATGCGCAAATATAAATAATGGCATGTACAGGCTTGAAGAGTTACTACACAGTGGTAGCACTCTCTAAATAATTTTAAGTAAGAAGATCACGAGGCCATCTCCTTTTCAGACACCTAGGAGGATTATCAGGAATCGAGAAAGAAGCAAGAGTGGAAACAAGCGGATTTGGATGGGACTGAAGTTTATCATGAAAGGATAGATATCTGGCTCGAGCTAAATCAGCGACATATGGTACATTAAGGTCTTTATGAATGGTTTTATTTGTGACAAAGTATGGAGCATTAAGGATTTTACGGAGGATTTTGGATTGTAAGGATTGGATACGATAGGAATTCGATGGTTTGGTGGAGCCCCAAAGCTCAACTCCGTATGTCCATATAGGTCTTATTATAGTTATGTAGATATGTCTTTTGTAATTAATAGAAAGTTTGGAGCGTTTGTCTAGTAAGTGTTGGAGCAGTCGGAAACGTCGAGCAGTTTCTTGTCGTTTCAGTCTAGTATGAGGATTCCAAGTAAGACGTTTATCCAAATGGAGTCCTAAGTAGCGGATTTGCTCAACAGGAATAAGTGGAGTATTATTGAAAGTTACTGTAGGACAAGACGTCATAGGTTTACGACTGAGGGTAAAGGTGATTTGATGGGATTTGTTGGAATTTATTTTTTTTCTCCAATTTTTAAACCATTCTTCAAGGCTTGTGACATGTGATTGAAGAGTTTGGGATGCAATTAAAGGATCGTTATTAACAGATAGCAAACATGTGTCATCGGCGTAAGTGGTGATGACAGTGTCAGGATGGGTTGGTATGTCAGCTGTATAAACTGTGTAGAGGATGGGACCGAGGATACTACCTTAATTATAAAAGTGAATATAATAAATACTCACACATATATACATGTTTTTAATTTAATAATGCAATTTTCAGGTACGTGATCACATCCCTGTGCGGACATGACGTGTGCTCTTGCCCACACATGGTGGTGGCCACTGTCTTCTGGGTAGGCTACTTCAACTCTGCCCTCAACCCCATCATCTACGCCTACTTCAACAGAGAGTTCCGGGCGGCGTTCAAGAAGACACTGGAGTCGTGCTGCCACCAGATCGTCCTGGCCCTCCCTTCTCGGGGGCCCAACCGGGTGAGCAGGCAGAGGACGACCGGGGCTTCCAACGCCTCCTCCGCCGTCGAGATCCACCTCAACAACTCGGTGGCCAGGGCCACGACGATGGAGGAAGTGGGGGTCCCAAGGGTCGCCGAGCAGCAACAGGTCACAGAGCCACAGCCCCCATCGGATACTGACGACAAGGTCTAGGATACTTCAGTACTAGACTAAGGCGTGTACTTCGGTATGCTTTTGTTTACCAATAACTCAACATACACAAATTGGTAAATCAAAATATTGCTGTTGAGGTTAAATCTTTACTGTTTCAATGGTACCGTCTTACAGCATCGGAAATTAACAGGTTGCATTTCCAGTCACGAGAGTAACCCAAGACTAATATTTTTCCATACAATTATATATTTATTTCATTGTCGAAAATAATATCTCTAAACCTGTTAATAGCACTCTCAATTTCCTCCAACAAAATATGCATAAATGAGAAAAATTGGGTAGGGTGTGCGAATCATCCAACTTACACTTCACACACTACCCTACTACCTTGAGTAGAAATGTTTTCATACATACGGAAGAGAAAGTAAAAACGCTGCAAATTCTTACACAATGACTTATTATTTTCAAATAGTTACATCTCAAATATAACACTACTTTCCCGGTCACTTCAGAGAAAAAATAAATAAAAGATGACTAAGTAATTTTTTTAAGAAATATAGACAACAATCTCGATTTGTTTAGTTGATGTAAGAATTTCTAAAATTCAAAAATAAAAGCAACATACCATCCGCTTTGCAGTAGAATATGTAGCAATTATTTAGAAAACCATATCTTGGCCTCAAATCGTCCGATTTCAACGATTTTTTAAAGGGAATTTTGTAAAATTTTAGAAAAATATCATGTTTTTGATTTAAGATCAACAAACAAATGTATAAGAATAAAACAAAATTGTCAAGAATTTCAGTCAAAATTTATTTAATGGGTTAGCCGGCGATTCGGTTAATTACAAAACTTTGTAATTTTTAGTCCTGATGATGTCCCACATGTTTGGATCGAAACGTCGGCTAATCCATCAAAGAAATGTTGACTGAAATCCCTGACAATTTTGTTTCATCCTTATAATTCATCGGTCAACTACTCACTCATCTCAAAAAAATGTATTCTTTTTGAGTTATTCGGAAATCTAACTTCACCACTCTCCCGTAACTTTTCTTTTCGGTTAAGTAATTTACACGCACAAATTTATAGAGCTTCGAGGAAAAGACTTTGGCGTAATTTCGATAAAATCGGTACGTCGGTTTAGGCGCTGCAGTCTATTCAACACACGTTTTTCGGCAGCTATCTTAAAAAGAAAGTACTTCTCGGTTAAGTATGTTATATATGTTAACTTAAAAGGCTTTGAGGACAGCCTGATGACAGCCTACAGCCTATAGCGACACAGGTTTTTCTTCCGCCATCTTGAAATGAAAGAGCGGGTACTAATCTTACAAGGAATACCGTCGGGTGCCCTCTGACATTGTAACAAATTTAAAAAAAATTTAGCTAAGTACTGCGCACTAGTGGATCCAGGATTTAATTTTGGGGGGGAGGCTTTAGCCCGAAAGCTTATTTTTTCATAAAAATAACAATAATAACTTTGGTAAATAAGAAAGAAACTAACTAACTATTTGAACTGGTGTTTAAGTGATTCCTAAAGCCCTTTTAAATGTAATTATACGAATAATTATACTTTAAGAGATAATTTTTTAAAACATGGTTATATTTTACCATTTTGGGGAGGGCTTCAGCCCGAAAGCCCCCCCCCCCCGTAGATCCGCCCGTGGTACTGCGTAGGGCGTAGGGCGGACGGTGAACGGCGGACAGCGAACAAATGGATTTTTTTATCAATTTTCGAAATGTACGTATTTTCAAACGTAAAATCTCAATTTTTGAGGAACTTAACTTTTTTTTTCTTGGTCGATAACATATGTGGATTATTGAATATAATAAACCAAAATTATAACCGGTATAACATATTCATTTAAAACAATCACCTAACAAAAATGGCCATGTTCAAAGTGATAGGAACCACAAAACGTATTTTTCCGGTGAAAACACGGATTCGAATTTTTTCAGTATCGCAATCCATTCTGTTTACTATATACTGCATCCGTTAGTAAATATATATTTCATATACAGATGAATACCAGTAAAAACGGTAGGATTTTCATTGATATCTTTATCCATAGCATTCAACAGTACCTCTTACTGGTTTTTCTAGTGATATAAAACATTAGATTGGTTTAAATATCAAATTTATGCTCCAAAGCTTCGTTGAATAGCTGTAAAGTGAAGAATCAAAAGAGAGATCATTTTACAAAATAATAATAATTATTCGCCTTAACCATATCGCTAGAAGAAATATTAAATTATTAAATAGAGTCTCAATACAATTGCATGGATTCCCTTGCATGAGCGCAACGGTTGCAACCGCACCGGAGGCACGAGAGCCATCAGTTGCAGTTTACCAAGCAGCCTCCTCGTGAAGGAAAACGAAGCCTATTAGTACTAATGGGCCCCGATTGCAGAGCTATGGGCCCCTTGCTCTGATCCTCTAGGAGTTCCTTTGGCCTGGGATCGATATCGGCAGGATAATAGAGGATATCCTTAGCTCTGTTCGACGTGCTCCAATTAGTGCGAGTATAGTCACCAGCCAGCGTTCTCTTGGAGCACCCTCGGTACTCAGTTCATTATCAATTTCAAGATATATAGTTAACTACACGCAGTAATAATTAGGCTAAAAAGAAGAGATTACGGATATGATGTCATAGATTTCAATTACAATTATATTGAGAATAAATAATAAATTGTTTGAAAGTATTGTTTGCTCGATTACCCCCTATTTCTGACATACGTGGTTTGTTCTAGAGGTACGATCAAACCTATTCTAACCAGAGTGGGAAGGCCGAGATTCATCCCGAAGGTCCACCACAAAATAAATTTCTTACATATACAAAATTATACATTCATATAAATTGTAATGACTTATTTGCTTACTATAATACATACTTGCAGTAGCGGATGTGCTTCTTTTTTTCTATAACGTAGCCCAGAAAGGGGTTTGATTTCATAGCACATTTTGCGCCATCAACATTTTTGAGGGGGGAATATTTTGACGGGTTTATGGCGTTTTGAGGGGAATACATTTCGGGTAGATTTGTGATTTTTCGAAATAAAAAGTTGCAAAACAAGAGGCAACGTAAAACGTGGAAAATGCCATAAAAAATTTAATTGTATATGAAGACAGCAATAAAATATCTTGGGATGGGGAGGGGAGAGGTTCCACAGACCTTAAGGTGGGTGGGCACCCCTGCTATAACGGTAATTACTTCAGAAGAAAATAAAAAAACTTTATAAAATGATGTTAAAGTGATCCTTAATGGTCTGTTAAAAATATCTGGTAATTATCGGAACATTAATGCTTTTAAGAACAATTTTTTTTCTAAACACGTGCTTATATTGGTAACTGTACATGCTTTATAATTTAAAAAGAGAACATATCAAGATCAGATCACTAAAAGAAAGAAATATGGATCTAAGAAAAAAATATGTATTTTTCTGTTTTGGGAGCATTCCTTCCCCTGTGGATCTAATTTAGAAAAAAGTTCAAAATAATATTAAAAACTTCGTGTAGAATCTACATGTTAGATATAAAAATACAAGAAACTTACAAAAGGCCTGATAAAGACCTACAGAGTGGGTCGAAACATCAGCGTAACTAATAAGATACTATTCTGGTTTATAGTATTTATTTGATCGTATCCCCAAGCAACTCCTTCTCTTAACTTCAAATAATACACTTAAAATTTAGTGTTTCTCTATTTTTTTAAATGTTCTATGTATTTGGAGTAAACGCACCAGTTATGGACAGGGCATCCAGTGATGGACAGGTTGGACTTTAAATGTAAATAATAAGCTTCCTTATTGATTTAAAGGTTCCAGTTTTGTAATAGAAATTATATCTGCATAACTGAATATTTTTCAGTTTTAAAGTGTTACAATAGAAAAAAGGAGATCCTAGAGATTCAAAATATCCAACGGAGAAGTTTATGACTCTAATAATTACTGGGGCATAAGCCAAAAACAAAAAAAAAACATTTTCTTAGCTATGTCCATCACTTCCCTTAATGTGAAAGGAATTTTTTAATTATTTATTGCTTTTGACTCATTTGGTTTTTATTTTTTTTCTTGTAGACCCAGTAAATCTAAAGGACAGATGTACTCCAGCGGGTATACGAACTACTTGGAAGAGAGTCGCCCAACTTCACATTACTTTAGACCATGATTTACGTCAAGCAGTGACAACCTGTCCCTTCCTGACCAATTTTCAAGGACAGTCACTCATCCAGGTACATAATCAACAGTGTTTAGCTTTAGATACCTACTTCAAGTGTACCCCATAGACCTTCCACTTTCAGAAATGTATAAAATATAATATTATTTCTATAATATTATAATAAAAATATAATATTATTTTTATTTTTATTTCTTATTTTGTGGGTTTTCTGATATATTTATATAATAATTTTGGGGGTCAACTCTCTTCCCGAAGACAAATAAATAAAACCAATGATTCTCATTATTTATATTTATATCTAACATAAAGTGAACGTTATTTTCTATCTTCAATTATCAAGATTTGAGCCGAAAATTACAATATCTATGGCAACAGGATAACAAACTTTTTAATAATCAAAATGTCTACAGAAAAATTAAAAGAAAAATCAAGTATTATCTAGAGGATATTAAAAATTCGCAATAAACCACAAGCAATAATTTACAAAATTTTGTAAATATTTATCAAACTAAAATCTGAATCAATTTGAAACATAAAAATTCAATCTTCTATCAGAAACTATTCCATTAATATCTGTTCTACCTTAATATAATTACATTTTCCTAAATTTATCATTAAAAACAGAAAAAAGATGCTTAAATTCTAAAAAAAAAATATCATTTTATGTCATATTTTTTTCCTAATGAATTGGCATGACATTTCAAATCTAAATACAGTGTAAAATTTCAAATTCATTTAAATGTATGAAATTCTATTGGAACTAAAACTAAACACAAAAAATAATTTGTGATGAAATTGAAATACTTTGTACTCAAATACGGTACAATTTCCAAAGTTCTTCCAAAAATCTCTTTAACCTATG